ATGTGGGTCTTCAACAATAAGTTCTTCAATTTCTGCAACATTTTTTGGGGTGACAATTTCTTTTGGGCATCCAGAACATGAATCATCTTTAATGTTTTCATCACCACTTTCAAATGATTCAATCCAGCGATAAATACTATGAATACTTAGTGCTTTAGATCCTTCAGCAACCTGTAATTCCATATGAATTTGATTCGCACTCTTACCATTTTTCCAGCTTACAAAAATGTAATACATTGATGCTCACAATTAAAATTTTCCATTTGTTTTTTAGCAAATTTTTAAATGTCAATAGCTTTATAATTAATGAACAAAATTTGATAATTTTTTTTTTATTTAATAGACAAAAATGACTATTTTCATTTAAAAAAAATCTGCACAAAGTTATACATAAGATTGTCATTTTACAGGGCCAGTGACAAAACTTTTCAAATGCCCCCACGTATCTTATTTTTATCCCAAAAATTAACAAGTGATTGTGTATTTGCTTTATATGCTGCATTTTATAAAGATTCACTTACACCATCTCTTTCTACAACAATATACAGTGTGGGACAAAAAAAACCAGTGAACAAATTACTATCATTGGAAGCTGAAAACCAGCTGATTTTATTAATATATTTTTAATAAGGTATTATTTCACCCATTTTTTTCAACCACAAGCTCACAATGTTGTTTCATTGATCCTACTAAACTTATTATAGTGGATTCGAGAATATTTCAGAGATTTTCAATAGGATTCAAGTCAGGATTGTTGGATGGCCAATCCATATGTTCACCTGTAAAAAGGCTTTGGAAACGTGACTTGTATGCTTCGGGTTGTTATCCTGCTGAAATCACCATCTATTTTTCAACATCTGCTTGATCTCTGTGACATGTCTGCAGAGAATATCTACATAGAATTTGGCATCCATTATTCCTTTAAAGCAAAATAAACTTGTTTTTCCCTTTATGCAGAACCCACCCATGCAAAATTTTTTGTCTGATCTTCAGGCTTAGGATGAATTGGCTGTTAATGCTTATACCGCTGCTCTACTGTATTTCGGAAGAGTTGGAAGGCTGTCTCATCTGAAAATAACATCTTCTTCCAATTGTCATTAAGATACTCTCTAGCACATTCTACCCCTTTTTGTTTGTGTTCAGTAGTAAGCATGAGTGTTGTTTTTGTAAGTTTTTTTAAGTATCTAGTATTGGTTAAATGTCTCCCAATTGTTTGATAGAATACCTCCACACCTGTATTTGCTAACTTTGTTGCCAAAGTTCTTGTTAAAATAGAGGAATCCTATGAATATATTGCCCAATGCCTTTAAGGCATTCCCCGTGATCTTCCTTGGTCGACTGTTACCACCCGCATGCTGTATTGTACCAGAATTTTTGAGCTTTTTAAGGTTATCATATATAATAGAGAGGGGTATGTTTGTCCATCTATGTATTTCTTTGGTATCACATGCACTCTTGTTCCATAAATGTAGTAAGGTTTTTCGTTGAGCTTCTCAGTTAGAAGTTATCATTTCGCAAGTTGTTTCAAAAATTTATAAAAGGAAGTAAATGTGGAAAATCAAAACTTAGCACAAACCTTTCAATTCGTGTTTCACAGAGATAAGTTAGTTATAAATTTTCCCTCAAAATGGAATTTCACGCCTCTGTATAATTAAAACCACAACGCATATCAACACACACATAAAAACATAGTAATTTTTATTCCCAAAAGTTTATATTTATTCTGGTATATATTATGGATATTATTTATAACAAATAATAAGAGCTTTAATAAAAAAATGGATTTTAGAAAGAAATTTATTGTTTAAAAGGTTTTTCGTAATAAAAACCCATATTCTATATGTTTAGTACAAAACAAAAACAAAAAAAATAAATTTCTCTATGCTTTTTAATATTTCAATTTTATATGTAAAATCCTTGGAATTTGGCGATGCCCAATATAAAAAGTTAGAAAAAACAAAAGGTTATAAAACATTTTTTTTATATTTTCGGAATCTTTGAGATTTATTACTCAAAAGTTAAAATTTTTTAATATTATGTGATCCACACATTTGATTTTAAAAAACCACTATCATTCAATTCAGCTTTAAAAAAGGGAACTCTATTAATCTAAAAAAAAATTGTCTCAAACTTTCTTGATTTTTTAAATTTGAAAGTTATGCTCAGAAGTACAACAATAATTTTCATGGAATCTCACGACCAATGATTTTATTTTAATGTAATATGTTCGTTAAACTTTTTTGTTGTAAAGAACTTTTATTTATTAATAAAAAAAAGGAAATAAATAAATTAAAATAAATCAAATGTATGTTGTAGAAAATATTTTATAAAAAAAAGTTGTTGCACGAAATTTACTTAGTTTCAATTCTTAAGTGTATAACAAAATTCGGAATTTTCAAAATGCTAAGGCCCAGCCAATTTCAGTTTAAGAAAAAACCATCTGATAAGTTTTGAAGCTTGAGTCATGAACAATAAAACTTATCGGTTAAATTTAGATAATTTTTTTTTGTTTTAGTATTTTGAAGTTGACCAATTGTTATTATAAGCAATTAATGATTATAGATGAGCATGATGGACATTAGAGTTTGGATCCGGTTTATTTTTGTCAAACCGGTTCAAATTCGGATTCTAAACAGGCAAACCGGATTGGAACCGGATTCAAAACGGATTTAGAATTTTTGGATGATCTTATTATTATTATTAATTACAATAATTACAATGAACTATTCTGATTCTATATCTTCATTAGAATCCCAAATTGGTGCAAAAACATTCATGAATTTCATATTTCGCTTTAGAAAAAGCATCTTAGCAACTAAATTACAATTTAAACGGTTTCTTTTTTGATTTATGATATTACCAACATCAGAAAGAGATGCTCACTTGACACAGAACTTGCTGGTATTGAAAGATATTTTAATGCAAGTTTAGAAAGGTATGGAAGAGTTTGTAATGGACTTTCATTCTCTGATGCTAATGAAAGATCCAAATAACTTTTTACTTCATCTAATAAATAATGATCATTTGACAAAACATTTTTTCTTTTACCCTTCAAGAGGCAACAATGTTTATACCCTTGATAAGAATGTGTTAATGAAATATCATTTATAAAATCAACTAATTGATGTTCATTCTGATTTATATTCAATTCAGGTTTCAATTCATTGTATTCTATATAAAGTTGTTGTATTAGTTGTTGTTTTTCATGCTCATCATCAATGCAATCTAAATTTTTATAATGAGGATCCAAAAGAGTTGCTAATAATCCAAGGTCATTAGGCCATTCCAATAATAGATTAATGAATCATAGATTTTTTCTTTAATTTTATTCAATAAATTAATTGTATTTATAGGATACTTGATTGAAATTTTCTTTTTTGAATAATTGCTTAAAACTTCTTCATCATCAATGTCTGGGATCGAGTTTGTTTCATAAAGATCATTGAATTCACTGGTTATAGTTTCACCCAATAATGATGCTTCATAAAAATCTCCTAAATTGAATATTAATTCCTTTATTGTTGGCACCATTTTACTTAAAGTAACATAAGAACCACCTGAAAATTCACATGTGGCTTGCTCAAAAGGTATTAATAAAGTTATTAATTCATCAACTAAATCCCATTCCTCATCTGATAGCATTATTTTTCTAAGCTTATTTCCATCTTTTTTTTCTTCTCTATTTGTTGATGTACATAAAAAGAAAAGATGATCAAATGCATAATATGAGGAGTTCCACCTAGTGGAAACATCTTGTACCAATTGCAAGGCTTCTGTATAACCTTAATGTTTTTGTACATTTTTTAACCTCTCTACTTGTTTTTGTGTTGAAAAAAAATTAATTATCCTTCTTACATGAGCAACCAATACCTCAGCAATCATTAAACCTTTTCTAATTGCTAATTGTAATGTGTGTGATACACATGGTAAATATTTGATGGCATAACAACCAGGTTTTTGGTTAAGTAATTGAATGGATGCAATCATATTGGCACCATTATCAGTCACTATAGATACAATTCTACCTAACAAATTCAGTCTAAAATACTTTCATAAAGAGAATCAGCAATTACAACTGCAGTATGAGGTGCAGAAACATATTTAATATCTAACATGATGTCAACTACACTAAAGTCTGTTGCAATAAAAGAAGCAGTAATACCAAGGTATCTATGCTTGGCTCTACTGGTCCAGAAGTCTGTAGTTAATGAGATATAATCAATTCTTCGTTGAAAAATTTCACATAATGCTTCTTTGTTAAAACTGTAACTTTTTCCATTCATAGTTCATAATTTTTTTGCACCTGGTACAGAAAATTCTGGATCAAAAACTTTCATTTTTTTTATATATGCTTCATTAGTAACAATAGACAAAGGTTGGTTGGTTTTCCAAAGGCAGCGAATTCCTTGTCAGATAATATCCATTTAAGCAGTGCCTCTTCTTTTTTTTTCTGAATATATTGAGGATGGTTATGAGTTACTTGTGAATAATCAGTTATTTTTCTTTGTGACTAAATGTTAAAAAAGATAATACAGTGTGGGACAAAAAATTTTGCCTTCAATGTTGATGTAATTAAAACCTGTATACTTATTAAATTTAAAGAGTATCACATGAATAATATACCAAATTTGTATTGTGTTATGTGGCACATTGTTTACATATTCAACGTTAGAATTATTTCACTGTTGTTCCTTTTAAATCACAATCAAAATGACATTACAAGATAAAAGATCGCACCCTCAAGTTATTTTACATTTTTGGAACAATGGAATACGATCTCCTCAAGAGATTCATAAACAAACTAACA